TAATTTAAGTTTTTTAATAATTCAGTTAAACTGTAAAAACGATTTGAAAACATTTAATTGTAGTTTTTTGGTAGTGATCTGCATAAATTTATTGATCATGACATGACATTTTGTTGGAGGAGGATGAGGGGGGGGGGGTAACTACCAAAAAGTTGTCTTAAATTTATTAAATTTCTAAAAAAAAAATTTTTATGGAATGTCTTAATTGAAACCTTAAAGTAACAGTTTCCTGCTTTCTACAAGATAAATAGTTCTGAACAATATCTATCAACATTTTTTGAGAAATTCAATTTTTAAATTTTGTCTAACAATAATACGATTTCTCCTTATATCCGATTTAAAGAAAAGGTTGGAAAAAAGAAAGATTATTGATGAACAAAACCCTGCGTATTATAACTATGGCGAAACCAGTTTAAATTTTCATCCAGTCAAAAAGAAATTGAAATTGATACACAGTTCATTGAGGAAGCAACTAAAACTACATACGAATATTACTCAATTGAGGAGGAAACATCGAAATGGATATGCAATGAATGTAATTGTAACAGACCTGAAAAGTAATCAAATAAAATATCAAAACGTATACTAGATTACCATCTTGAACATGCTTAAATCCAAAGTTAGGCACTTCAATATTGATAGCACGGACTAGCGAAATTTTGTTAATTCTTGTGTGAGTTGCGTCGCGTAAGCTAAAAGTGTTGTTCGGTTCAACAAATGGTGTTACTGGTTGTGTGATACCTATAATCCGCGTCCAATTCCATAACAAAGAGGAGATTCAGCTCTTTTTAACGGTGGCTCAATTTTTTTTGTTGTACGGATTTTTGACAATTTATATGAACTCAAAATAAGGTCAGTTTACAAAGTTGTGTATTTTTATAAATATCCAAAATCTCAAAAATTTTATTGAAATGGCATAAACTTCAATATATCTAGTTTATTTTTTACATTCTTTTTTTGTATATTAGTTTGTCCCAATCAAGTTAGAAGATCCGCCAGTTACCCTGTTATGTATGATATATACATACATACATATATATAATTTTCATATCAGCTTTCAACTCAAAAATTAATATGGCAAAAAATTTTAATGACTTCGATTATCTATTGGAGTCTTTTATAGAAAAAAAATATACAAATGGCTATGTGCACAACTTATTTATTAACTATAAAAAAGATTTAGCAAAGACCGTAGATGAACTGTGTCTTCTTACAACGCATCTTCACCTATATAAGTTCTCTCTAAGACTATCTGTTATTCGTATGAATAATAAAGTAAATATTCTTAAAAATAAAATAAAAATTGGGCATTAATTGTAGTTTATCTTTAAAGAGAATTTACATTTCCGGTACCACAAACATTTACTCCTGATGTACTACCTGCAGTCAGTGGATCAATAATAGTTGTTCAGCCCATAACAACAATTGATGTTTCTCCATTAAAAACAAGAACAGACAAAGATTGTATAAGGTGTTTTGAAAAGAAAAAAATGCAATTTTGTACTACACAGTGTTAATAAAAAGCGTAGGCTCTCAAGTTTAGTTGAAAAAAGTGAAAGTTATTAATCAAGAAAAAATATAAAGTACATATTGTACATCAAAGTCTGATAAATCTTTCTCAAAGAAAAGATTGCAGAATCTACAGGTATTAAAACAAAATAACCAACCTTCAAAAAGAAAATAAGACCTTAAACAGGACTGTTGAAAAATTTCATATGAAAACCAGAAATCTAATAAAATCAAATAAAAAACAAAAAAGAAATTATGTTATCGGAAAAAAAACTTTTGGAGAAGAAAGCCATAACTAAGAAAGAAAAAGATTTGAGCAAAAATACCAACATTTTACTGGATAGTTTATATGCAGAGTTAGAGGAAGTGAAAAAACAGGATACCAATAACAAGGTAATTACGAAATGTAATAAGAAGTAGTTCAATACAAAAATGAGAGTTTCAATTTACAGGTGTTTGGAAAAAAATGTTGCTGTTGATACAACATCAAAAGTAATACAAGCATGTGTATCCCTTCTAACAAATCAATCTATAACTGTTATACCTGCTCCTGCAACTATATCACAGATGGGGCAAGAAATGGGCATTCTGGCTGAACTAGAAGTTGCAGACAAATTATTATTTCTGAAGGCATAAATCTTGCATTCGATGCTACTACTTTATTAGGCATTCATATTAACGAAATACACATCGTCACACAAAATACTGCTCTAACAGCAAGCATTACAGCCCTTCCTGGAGGTCGTGCAGACGACTATGTTCAGCACGTTCTTGACGCAGTTGAAGATATTGCAGCAATATATTTAGCATTCAAAGGCGTTAGCACTGCAGAGACGAAGCAGAAAAATTATGCTGCAATCATTAATCTTAATGACGTTCTGAACCGGCAGTTGCTGGAGCTGCACTGTGATCTGCACCCACTTGATGGCATTGCTAATGAGGTAAGGAATGAACTCAAAAGGTTTAACTTGTTTATTGCTAGTACAACCTTTGGACGTGACATAAATGTGAAATAAATTTGGATATGAAATAAATTCGTCTTTATTATGTGTCACTTTTTTGGATCAAAATTATAAAAGTTTTCAATTCTTTGAAAAGTACGAAAAAATTTTTCTCGGATTTTTATTTGACAAAAAAAGTTTGTGATATAATTCCAGTTAAAAAATTGACAATCAAAATCAAAAAAATTTAAGTTATCATTTGACGGAAAAGATGATGATTCCGGAAATGATAGTGACAAAATAATAAGTTTAGATTTAAAAAAAGAAATTAGTGGTTACATAAAATTGTCAGTAAATGAGCAAAATGTTTTAAACTTTTGGCATCAAAATCAAGATGTGTTTCCAATATTGTTTTGTAATTCAACAATGATTTTATGTACGCCTGCTATCAGTGGGTAGCAGGAAAAAATCCTCCTGAGAAAAAAACCCCCCCAGAAAAAATCCCCCCGAAATAGTCCCTCGAGAAAAAATTCCCCCCCCCCCCCAAAGAAAAAATCCCCATGAAAAATATCCCCCCCAAAAAAAAATTTTTCACTTTAAAATTATTAATATCTAGTTATGTTTGTTTCTTTATTTATTTTAAATATTTATATAAAATACTTCATTTTTCATCAAAATGTCAAGTTATGCGCTATTCCTCGAAGGTAGCGAAAGTGAAAAAAAAAAATAAAATAAAATTAAGTGAAACTAGACGAATACAATATGAAAATATTTTTTTTATTTAATTATTTGATAAACTGCCTGCCCAAACCAAACCCTCAGTAGATGTAGCATATACAATAAATATAACTATTTTATTGAAAATTTTCAATTAAATAAAAAATATTTTCTCGGGGGATTATTTCGGGGGGATTTTTTCCGGGGGGATTTTTTCCGCTACCCATTAAAACTTCAACATTATTTCAAAATAAATAACAAATATTACATAGGAATATAACAAATAAATTCTATTCTCAAATGGATATGATTTAAGCATTACAAGTATATTATAATACAGTCAATTTCTGATTTTAATTTCATTTTGGCCTCCATCTTTGATTTCCTTGGCCATCTTGTTTAGCTCAAAAATAAAAAATTATCGCAAAATGAATTCGTTTTGCGACATTTTCTATCCTTGACCTAAAAAACATTATATATTTCAAAGAAAGTTTGAAAGAATGTATTGTATACTTCATTAGCCTCAAATACTAGATGCAAGAGTCATTTTTCTGATTCATCTACGAGCTGAGATAGTGTAAATATCACTTTGAATGCCATCTTGAAGCTCTAAAGTCTAATTTTGGTCAATTTTATTCATTATTAATAAGGAATGCATGCTGAGCATTTCCAGCACTTTTCAGTTTGTTCATAATTTTTTTTGGGTGATATGATATTTTTTGCTATTTTGACTGAGCTAACCAATGCAAACTAGATTTTGACCCGGAAAAAATTATGAGCAAGTTGAATATCACTGGAAAGGTTCTGTATGCACTCCTGATTCATACAAAAAAAATCGCCCGAAATCGGAGCTTTGTTTAAAATCCGAGATGACGTCCGAGAAAGCGTCAAAATATAGTTTGTTATATTTGGTAGTTGTAGATCACCTAGAAACATGATTTTTGCTTTTACTATTTTGTTTGCGAGGTCAAAAAACTGATTTCAACCTTTTTAGTTTTATGAAAAAACATAATGGTTATCAAAATGGCAGTTGGTGGCCAAAACGGCGTCTAAACTGAAATATTTAATATCTCTTGCTGATCAAAATAAACACAAAGTACATTTTTTGCGTCCAATATTATGTTTTTTAGGTGAAGCAATTCATTTTTCACAATTTTATTTTTGAGAAAAAACAAAATGGCTGTCAATATATAAGAAAAAATTTAATGATGATTCTCTAACTATTTTAGAGTTGCCAATGTAAAGATCAGGAAATTTTAATGGAATATTTTCTTTATTGTGAAATCTATGAAAAAAAGTATACTTAGTTTTATTTAAATTTAAGGACAATTTATTTGCCTTAAACCATTCCGCTAGATTTAAAAATTCCTTGTTTACTATTTTAAATAAAAGGTTGATATCTCCATTAGAATAAAATAAATTTGTATCATCTGCAAATAAAACTGAATTTAAAATGTTTGATACCTTACGGAAATCGTTTACATAATTAAGAAATAAAAGTGGACCTAGAACTGAGCCTTGGGGAACACCACAAGTAATAGTCCAGTGTTCAGTTTTTCTTTCCTCGTGTGCTGTGTATTGTTTTTTATTGTTTAGTGCTTTTAATACCATAATTTATGTGCTTTTAATACCATATTCTTTGAGTTTTTTTATAAGAATGCTATGGTCAACTGTATCAAAGGCTTTGCTAAGATCTATAAATACTCCTAGGGTAAACTTACTGTCATCAAATACTTTAAATATATCGTGAACAATATTAATAATGGCATTGTCAGTTGAATACCCTGGTTGAAATCCAAATTGTTTGTTACATAGAATATTATTTATATTTAGAAAAGCCAAAATTCGGTTATACATAATTCGCTCTAAGATTTTGAAGAAGCAAAGAAGAATTAAAATTGGTCTGTAATTTTCAGGATTAAATATGTCTCCTGACTTGAAAATAGGTATGACCCTCGCAATTTTTAGTTTCTCCGGATAAATACATAGTTTTAAAGAGAGAATAAAAATATGTAAAAGAGGAATTGTTAAGTAATTTATTGATTTTTTAATTACATTACTACTAATATTATCAAACCCCACACTTTTGTTTAGTTTTAAAAAATATACTGAATCTAAGAGTTCCTTTTCAGTAATTTCATAATTATCCATCTTAGAGGTCTTATTAGGAGTAAGATATGACTCAAAGTTTACTTCAGTAGTTTCTATTTTCGACGCTAAAGTGGAACCAACACTGAAAAAATATTGATTAAGTGTTTCAGCAATTAAAGATTTATTTGTATTAGTTTTACTTTTAATGTTTAGTTTTATAGGAAGACTATTTCCGTCATTTTGTTTCGTGCCAATTACTTCCTTAATTGTGTCCCAAGTTTTTTTGGATCATTTTTATGTTTTATTAAATACTCATTATAGTAATATTTCTTTAACTTTTTGATAACCATCTCAAAAATACGTTTATAATTTTTGTAATTAGTTTCATCATTAAAAGTTTTTTTTTTTAGAAACTTATTATAAAGTCGTTGCTTTTTTTTCGACGACTTTCTAATTTCAGGCGTTATCCATGGATTTAATAATGTTTTTTTTTTCACATATTTTGTAACTACAGGAAAAGTCGAATTGTAAAGTTGTTGTTTATCAGTCGAATTGTAAAGTTGTAGTTTATAGTCGATTGTAAAGTTTTTGTTTAAAGTCGAATTTTAAAGTTGTAAAGTTGTAAATTGTAAATTGTAAAGTTGTTGTTTATAGTTGTAAATTGTAAACTGTAAAGTTGTTGTTTATAGTCGAATTGTAAAGTTGTTTATTAATAAACTTATCGTATGCCTTATCTGCGTGTTCAATATGAAGGAGGTCACGTGTTCAATATGAAGGAGGTCACGTGTTCAATATGAAGGAGGTCACGTGTTCAGTATGAAGGAGGTCATCCCAATTTAAATCTGATAAAAGAGTATTGAAATTTTCCATGGATTTTTCATTTATATTTCGCATATTTTTTTTAACTTTTTGTGCATAAATGTTATCACAATTTTGTGAGATAAGAAATACAGGGAAATGATCTGAAATGTCGCATTTAAATATTTCTGTTTTTATTTTTGATTTTAATTCATTAGTGACTATTTGATCTATGATGGTTGCGCTTTCTCTAGTTATTCTTGTGGGTTTATTAATTAGTGGAATAAAGCCTTTCTGATATATGACGTTAAAGAAATTATTTATATTTGTATTTAAATGACTCATGTTCAGGTCAAGATTAAAATCACCTATAAAATAAATGCTTTTATTTTCGCTTAATTTATTTTTAATTATGTTTTTAATGTGATTTTCGAATTGTTTTATTGAGCCGGAAGGTGGTCTGTATAAAACGTGGATGATAATGTTTTTTGTGGTTTTATTTATTCTTTCCACACATTGTGATTCACTTTCATTAGCGGTGGAGCAAAAATCTTTTTTTAGCTTGTGTAATAAAGAATTATTTATAAATACACACAAACCTCCTCCTTTCTTCCCAGATCCTCTGGGAAGAAATTGTATTTGTCTCTTTATGTTCATCATTTCACCATGTCTCGCTGAGACTAATAATTTTAAAATTAAATTTAACCTCGCATAAAAATTGTTTAAATAACTCAAAACTTTGGAAAAACTCCTAATATTTAAATGTAAAATTGAGAATGAATTTACATCTAGTCCTTGCATTATTATTTCAGATGTAGGGTCATAATATAAAGTATTAATATTTTGGAATACTTTGTTATTACTATAAAAATTAATATCCGGATTAGAATTGTTATCTAGAAGTATACTGTAATGAATTAAATTCTGAGTTAAGTGTCGCATTATCTTCATTCATGAGTAGGGTGTTTTTTATAAACTGTTCAATTAGTATTTACTAAATAAGAAAAAAAAAAAAATAATAATGATAATGATAAGAAAAAAAAAACATTCTAAATATTAATGTAATATAAATAATTTAAAGTAATTAAGCACTTGCTTTGATTTTCCTAAATTCTCTAACTATAAGTTTATCATATTTTATAGAAGAATATTTACCATTTTTTCTGTGCATCTTCATTTCTTCTAAGAGTTTTTTTCTTATGACCGTTGTTTCAAAAGAGAAGTCTACTTTGATGTATATTCTTGTTCCTTTAAGTCGATTAGATGAATTTAGTACTTTTATTTTGTCTTTGTAATGTAATATTTTAACAACAATTGTTCTGGTTTTATTTTCTTCTTTTTTTTCCAACTCTGTGAACCCTCTCGATATTAACGTTCTTAATATTTAATTCGTTTTCAAATAAAATTAATAATTTTTTTTCAGTTTCATCCCAGGTTTCTTGATCGTTTTCGGGAAGTCCGTCGATGCGAAGATTATTCCTTCTGAGTCTATCTTCTAGCTGTCGTAGTTTATTCTTTTCCTTCTCGCCTATAATATTTTTGTTTTTAATTTTCTTTTCTAATTCGCATACCTTTTTTTCTTGGATGTCTTGTGTAACTGTTAAGCTTTCTTTGATATCTTTATTTGTCGTTTCTAAGGTTCTTACTTTCTCTGTAATTTCTTTAAGTTTAATGTTTACCTTTTCGTTTTCTTTTTTTAATGAGTCGCAAATTTGTTTTGATTTATGTATTTAATCAAGTAGCTCGTTTATTTTATCGTTAGTTATTTTTAGGTTACCACTTATAAGCTTAAAGATATCTTTCTGCTGTTTTGAAAACATTTCTTAGAAAATATCTCGAACAACATTTGTTGAAACTTGTGTTTCACCTATATTCCCCGTTTATTCGCCTTGATGAAGGTTTTGTCACATCAACATGAGTTACGGCGGTAAACCTAATCCCAAACGATGGTAGACTTCAACGGCTAAAACATTCAAAGCCTACTGGAGTATCGAATTATTATCGAGATCATTTTTAAGAGTGTCATGATCACCAACTGGAAAGACTTTTTTCATAAGCCCCGTGTAAGCGATCGTCGCCATTTTTGAAACTCCAACCTCCATACTTTGCCCCTTTCTTTCGGTATAACTCCTATATAGCCCCGTAACCTTATCAGGCGTCATAACCGCCAGCTCCTAATGTGTTATTTTTTTACTAATGAGCTTTAAGCTGTTTCCACCCAAAATAGCAGCAGCTAACCTATTTTTATATAGAGCTATCGAACTATTATCAGCCTCGCGCTGAGTGGTGCTTTCATCATTTGCGTCTTGCGCAAACAGATCTTCAAGAATAGTTTCCATTGTGAGGTTTTTTATGTAAAGACGCGTTTTCTCCAAATGGCGGAAGCAGTATAGCTATTAACATTGAAATTAATCCTTTTTCATTTTTGTCGGCTGAATTTTTTAGTTATATTAACGGGGCTGGATGATAAGATCATGTCTTCTGCCAGCTCCGGTCGAAACTTTAATGTTATAATTTTTATGTTGTAAAAAAACATTGTAAAAGATTATTCATTTAATGACGAAATAAATAAAATTAAAAAAAAAAAAAAATACAACAGTGTTACCTTATAATATACAAGTTTGCGCCTCCATCACAGCAGCTCAAGTTTTACGTCTGAAGCTTAGTGAATAAACGCTGCTGCGTGAGGTTTAGATAAAAGGTGTGAACGAATTTTTCAATATTGTCACTTATTAATCTATTTCCATTTTCTTCTATAATTGTTGAGAAGTTCGACCTGTCTTTTAGCGTGAGGATAGCAACGCATGATAGCTGGTCTCTTACAACTCGCGGGATACCTGTATATCTCTGGGTAAGAATCTTCAACGAATGCTCTAAATATCTTCCTGATATTGCAAGTTTTGAGCGCCTTGAATCCATCTTAGACTCGCATATGCAGTCGTCAACGATAAAAATACACCGCTCACCCGCCATTATTTTTGAAATACTTTCAATTATACCGTGCACACCGCACCGCTCAATCCACTCACAGGGTACTATGTAAAAGTCATTTTCTTGAACCCGATTGCTCTCTTGATATGTTTTATTCCACGGAACAGTGGGACATATTTAAAATATAACGGCTTTTTCTTGCACGCGCTCGAGTAAGCTCAATACTAGCGCCGTCTTTCCCGAGTTTGTTGTGCCAACGCAAAGGAGATAGCCGGAAATTTTAGTCATGCTATTGAGTAAATATAGTATGAAGCATACGTTTCAAAATGGACGGCATACGTTCACCATCAACACTTACACCATTGCTGCTAGATGCATCCAAGTTTGTTTACATGGTGCGGAGTGATGACTTTGACTGGGTCCGGCGATTTTGCTTAAACTATGTTGTGACCAAGCGTTGGCTCAAAGATTTAACTTTATTTAATTTAAAAACTTTATTTTTCGTTGATGGTTACAATAGTTTTAGCAAGAATAAAACTAATTAAAATCAACACATTTATCAATTATAGACAATACACACTCACATGAAAGTCGTTAAAAAAAGAAAAAATGTCCACATATATATAGGTAATTTACGATTCAATTTTTAAAAAGTATTTAAAAACAAAAAGCAAACTACAATTTACAAAATTATAATATAAATTACAAATAACATTAAAATATTCAAATTACAACCGTTACATTAAAGAAAAATGAGAAAATATTGTATTATAATGTCAGGATAAATAAAACTATTAATTAAAAACGACAGATTTTACAATAACAATTTTTTGCATACTATTTTTTGATATGTTTTTTGAACACCTCAGAACGGTTAGAAAACATGGTATTGTTATCTAGAGTGTTTCATAACAAGATGGCTCTAAATATAGTACAACATGTATCTCTATACTTGGAGCCATTTGAAAGTAGAATCATTTTTTTGCTACAACAAAGTTTAAAAGGAAGGTTTTTTGTATTGAATAAATCCTTCATAAATTCTGGGTTTAGATAATTAGTTGATTTAAAAACTTCTATATTAAGAAAGCGCAAATTTCTAAAGTGGATCCTTGGACTATTATCAAAACTTAACAATTCATCAAGAGATAAGTCAAACCTTTTATGGACAATACAAAGAGCTTTTTTATGAATTCTTTTTATAAGGTTGTCATAGTATTTAGAACAAAACATCCAAATTAGAGGACAGTAAGAAAAATTTGACATTATGAAGGTGTTAAACAACAAGGTAGCTTTATTACGGGATAAAAAATTTTTTATGCGTTAAAGAGCAAAACATTTACCATTAACTTTACTGCATAAGTATTTAATATGTTCTCCAAAATTTAGACTCTTATCAATTGTAACACCAAGTAGTTTCATCCTATCAGAGGCAAAAACTCATATTACCTATATTTAGGTATATATTTTTTGTGTTTTTTAATCCAAATAAATTTAATTGGAATTTATCATGGTTGGTAACCATCGAGTTCAAGTTAAACTAGGCAATGGTATAAGTTGCTACTTTTCGCAATCGAAAAATAACCTTTTCTAAGCTGTAATCACATGCATACAGCATATTATCATCTGCAAAATTGCACAATTTATAATCTTTAATAAATAAGAATATATCATTCATAAAGATCTCAAAGAGAATGGGGCCAAGAATCGAACTTTGAGGCACTACCAATAAAATATCAATCATTATTAATGTTCCAACAATACCTCCATTGTTAATGCATTCATGCCACTTATTAAGTAAAAAAATAAGTGTATGCTGAGTACTATAACAACTACAAAAACCACACAAAAGTTTGTCAAATTTTGGCTCCATAAATAACAAAATTTGTTCATGAACGATCATTTCAAAAACTTTGGAGAGAGTGGGTAGAATACTTATAGGACGATAGTTAGCCTTATCTGTTGGGTCATTTTTCTTAAGACACGGTAAAACAACCGCCATTTTTAGAAATGACGGAAATGTTCCATCTAAGATGCTTTTGTTGAAATAACATTTAACATAAAAATTGGTATTTCACCACTTGTTTATTTTTTTTTCATTCATAGACCCTACAATTTATGTAATATCATTAGCTGTAA